TTGTGCAATTATGATGCAATTCACAAAGGAGGAAGAGACATGGTAGTTGTTTGTGTCTCATGATAACTTCTCTGATCACTTGCAGGTTGCATGAAGCAGCAAGCTTTTACCAACGTGCTTTGCTGGCAAATGCTCTTACCAGTGCTCTGCGGCTGCATCAAAGATTACCACACTTCCAGTTAAGCAGAGCATTCCTGGCCCAGGCTTTGTTAGAGGACAGCTGCCACTACCTGTTGTATTCACTCATCTTTGTCAATTCCTACCCTGTTACAAGTATCCTTTTCTACTTTTTTTGGGCAAGGAAATTACCAACTAAAGGTAGTAGTTTTTTGTGTGTGTGTGTGTGTGCAATAGGAAGGATTTAGTAATGAAAATGGTCCGTGAAGCTTTGATTTCTTTTGTTTTTGGCACTTCATTTGTATGAAAATGTTTAGTGTTAAGAATTTTCTGGCTTAAAAATTTTAAATCAAACATTGAAGAGCTATTTTGGAAATTTAAACTTTGTCTATCAGCATTCTTGGTTCTTGTAAGCTTTTCTATTAGTGGATATTTAGATTTAAAGCATAAACTTACGTAGAACTTAAATTTTTAATACTTAAAATGTCTTTGGTAAAGTGTCCAAATGTCTTGCTTTAAAAAAAAAAATTCTCAGCCCTTTCCTAATTTCCAGTGAGCTAGAGAAAATTAACCCAGAAATAACTTAATAAATAAAAGAAAAAGAAAATATTTGTTGTAGGTAAAGTTGAAATTGATGACATATATGAATAATCTATGTAATGAAAAGTAACTCATTTGGAATTTCTATTTGTTTTCACATTTTGAAATGGTTATTAAAAGAAAAGCTGTACAATTCAGTGTGTTTAGGAAGCACTAAGTTAATACATTTTTATTTTATTTTTTAGGTAGTTTTGGTGGCACTGGGGTTTGAACTCAGGGCCTTGCTTGCTAGGCAGGCAAGCGCTCTGCCACTTGAGCCACGCACCTAGCCCTATTTTGCTTTAGTCATTTTTCAGATAGGGCCTCCTGCTTTTACCTGGGTCTGGCCTTGGACTTCCACCCTTCTGCCTATGCCTTTCTTATAGCTGGAATGAGAAGCATGTATGCCATGCTTGGTTTATTTGTTGACGTGGGGTCCTGCTATTTTTTTGCCCAGGCTGGCCTTGAACCTCAGTCCTCCTGCTCTCTGCCTCCTGAATAGCTGGGATTATAGATATGGCCCTTATTGTGTGCTGTGTCGTTGTTATGGACAATATTTAAAAATGTAGTTTTAAGCTGGAGGTGTGGCTCAAGCAGTAGAGGACTTCAAACCTTAGTACCATCCAAAAAAAAAAAGGATAGTTTCAATATTTGTTAGTTTCCTGTTAAGAAAGCCTGTAATTTCACTTAGAGATTCTGTTTAAAGGTCTTGCTTTTGCCAAGATAATAAAAGTGGTTTGGAAAATAAGGTTAGAGTTTTTCATATTTTGGTGTATGGGTCTATAATATTCCATCATAATTTGTATTTGTTTGTAGGTAAAACTCAGTGATTGTTGTAGTATAACTGTAGGTGTTTGCTTGACAAATCATTGGATTGACTAGCTTTTGTTAGTCCTGTTCGTTGAGGTGCTTTGTTACCAGTATTAAAATTCTTATTTTTGCTGGTGCTGGTAGTTCACACCTGTAATCCCCGAGCTACTCGGGAGACTGAGATCATGAGGATTGAGGTTCAATGCCAGTCCAGGCAAATGGTCCTTCCAGACCCCATAATCAGAGCAAAATGGACTGGAAGTATGGCTCAAGCAGTAGAACACTTGCTTTGCAAGTGCAAAGCTTAAAGTCCTGAGTTCAAAGTGTAGTATGTATACATAAAATTTTTAAGAACTCTTTTCTGAAATAAAGGAAGACATATAGAGTTCTTGGTTATGCCTGTTAGAAGATTTCTTTGGAGGGAGTAATAGAAATAAAAGAAAATGTACTCCAGATAATTAATACAGAGCAAATTGAACTCAGGAGCACTGCCTAGCACAGATCAGGTACTTACTAAGTTTTATTGATTGAATCCCGATGTTGTACCGGATGAGACTCGTGACTGATGACAGTCTTTCTGCCTTCTTTGTGTAGTTGGTTATTTGCTAACCCAAATTATGGCAACGTTGAACACTAAGAATTTCATGTTCCTTAAATTCTTGGGAATAGGAATACAGTGAGCAGAGGGAATAACAAACTGGTAATTGACAAATAATAATTGATTCTTAAGGAAGTTGAATATATCGTGATCAATAAAGGTGGTCTAACGTAATATTACAAAAGTATCCTGATCTTTGTTTGTACAAAGGTGATAATTGTTCTTGCTCTATTAATGATAGGTACTTAGGGTTAAAATTGTAGACTTTTCACCCTTTTTCTAAATAGTTTAAAATGATATTGAAAGCAAAGATTATGAATCTCTTATTCACGATTTGTGAACTGTAGAATATTAGAGATGAAAGACTCATTAGAAATATCTAGTATTGATTTATGCATAGCCAGTTGACAGAGGATGAAATTTGGCTTAGGAAAATGAGGTTTGTGACAAGACAGGAATCAACATCTTGATTCCCAGTTCAGGGTACTGTTTTTGCTGCTTGACACTGCTTCTGTTACTGAATCAGTCTTCAGGTCTGAATGTGTGTCACAGTTTAAATTGAATTATTTAAGCCACAGTAGAGTTTTACAGTGGTCTTAAAGAAGAGAGAATTATAGTTTTCATCAGTTTTAAAGGAGTCTGTGGTTCATTTAAAAGCTTAAAACT